TTCTACACCCTTCACCTAGATTTGCAGTGGTTAACACTTTGCCAGCCTGCTTTATCGCTGTGGGGCCATCTCCCCAGCCCTGCCACCAGCCATTGGAGAACAAGTTTCTCATTACTCCCCTTTGCTTCCAAAAACTTAAGCTATGTTTGCCGGTATAAGGACATTTTCTTTTCACAGCCCTCATGCAGTTTAGCAGCAGACGGTGCACAGTGACACAACGCTAGCAACCTCAAACCGAACTCAAAGCGCCAGCTGTCTCCAAACTGCTTCGCAGCAAAACTTTTCTCCCAGTGCAGGACTGTTTTTTTTTTTCCAGCACAGGGGACTGAATCCAGGGCCTTCACACTGACCTACATCTCATCCCTTTTTATTTTTTATTTTGAGACACGGTCTTGCTAAATTACTAAGTTCTTCAGGCTGAGCTTGAACTTGGAATCCTCCTGCCTCAGCCTTCCAGAGTGTTGGGATTACAGTCGTGCACCACCATGTCTAACTCAGGATCCACTTTGGGCTGGTGTGTTCTGCGCTGTTCTCATGTCTCTGGTTTCTCTTGGTCCGCTCCATTTTTGGGTTTCTTTGTTTCCTGAAATGATGACATTTTGGGGATCCCAGGCTACTTCTTTTTAGGGTGCTCCCCTTGACTTGGGCTTTGATCTGGGCAGGCACTGGGAATATGAGAGAAGTGATGCGGCCTTTTCAGGACATTGTATCGGGAGGCACACGGCGTCCTGTTGCAGGTGATGACTTGGACCCATTGAATGCCGTGAACCATGGACTCCGGATCTATAGTCTAAATCAGTGTCCTCCCTCCCTGGACCTCAGTTTCCCTCCTACAAAACGGAAGCTGGGCTCCCTGTAGGTTCTGCAGATACTTAGAGAGCTGGTGTGTTCCGTTTAGCTCTCACACTCTTGGGAACGCTTTCTTTAAAACGTGGACAACATGGAGGGTTTGGTAGATTTCACACGTGAGTCTGGGAGAGATGTCCTCTGACTCTGGGCTTACCCAGGGTGGCGAGGATGGCGACATTGTCCGGCAGGGGCTGGGCTTCTCTGAGAAAGGCACGGAGCAGATGATGACAGCTTCCTTTAGCAAGGACCCAAAATGGCGGGACAGCCACTGAGCAAGAAGTCTTAGAGCTTTGGGTGAATTCTGAGGTTCTGGGGCACAGAGACCCCCCTAAAGGGCCTGCTACCTCCCCACGGAGTTCCTGTTTGTCCCTCTGGGCAGGAGGGGGTGGAAGGACACGCCCCGGTCCCAAGGTCTGGTAGCCCGAGAGGGGATTTCCATGTGGGGAGAAGCCAGCTCCTTGGGTTTAGAGAAGTCACTTAGTGGGCTCAGTGCTGAGTTCACTCTTCAGATGCAGGGGCCGTTGCACACATACACACACGCATGCACGCACATGCACACACCCAAATACGCACACGCAGGCACGCACACACACTCTCATGCACATGGGCCCGGGGCCTGTGCTGAGTGCCAGCTATTCTCATTAAAGCTTCATCAGCCCACAAACCCTGAGAGGTGTGTGTTGTTCCCATTGTACAGATAGGAAACTGAGGCTCGGCATGGCCCAGGCTCATGTAGTTATTTGGTGGCAGAGCCCTGGTGTGACAGATACACTTCTCCGTGATACCACTCTCTCCCTTTCCTGTTGAAGTAGTAACTTCTGAATTTAACATCCTGTGGAACGATGCCTTCCCAGAGGAAACTACATTTCCCAACCTTCCTTGTGCTAAGAGGAATCACGTGGTTAAATTCTGGCCAATAGGATTTCTGGATTGTGGCTTTTAAAGTTTTTTTTTTTCCTTCCGGTGTCAGGAATCGAACTCACGTCCTTGGGCTTGCCAGACAAGTGCTTTGCCACTCAGCTAAATCCCCAGCCCCTGTGGCTTTTAAAGTGTAGAGGCACATCAGCGGCACAGCGCCTGCCTGGCAAGTGCAAGGTCATGAGTTTGATTCTCCATTCTGGGGTGGGGCAGGGGTGCGGGGAACAAAACAAAAAAAGTGTAGAGGCACAGAGTTGACTGACTTTTCTTTCTTTCTTTCTTTCTTTCTTTCTTTCTTTCTTTCTTTCTTTCTTTCTTTCTTTCTTTCTTTCTTTCTTTCCCTTTCATTCTCTCCCTCTTTCCCTTCCTCCTTTCTCCTTCCTTCCTTCCTTCCTTCCTTCCTTCCTTCCTTCCTTCCCTCCCTCCCTCCCTCCCTCCTTCCTTCCTTCCTTCCTTCCTTCCTTCCTTCCTTGTACTAGGGATTAAACCCAGAGCATCCACACTGAGCTATGTCCCCAGTCCTTTTCATTTTGAAAACGTTTACAGTGTTTCACTAAGTCCCTAAAATTCCCAGGCTGGGCTTGACCTTGGGAGCCTCCTGCCTCAGTCTCGCAGGGTGCTGGGAGTACAGGTGAGACCACCACACCAGCTCAGTTCACTCATGCTTAGGGGTCAGAGCAACCCCTCAGTGCACCCTATCACTGTGCCCTCCTTCTTACAGACGAGGAAATCGGGACTCAGGACCATGAAGTTACCTGGCCTCGGCCACACAGCCCGGAGGGGAAGGGCAGGACTCGAGTCCGCTCTGCCTCCATGGTTGGTGCCCTTGACACAGCCCTTTCGGCCTCCAACCCTCCCAGCAGCGCGCACCAACCGCACCCATGCACACTCCCCTTTGCACACATACGCAAAACCAGACACAGCCACACACACTTAATCTTTAAGGCCGGGGGCCTGGGCCTGGGCTTGCTCATTCTGTGGACCCCTCTGAAGGCTCTGCTCCACATCAGGCAGCGTGGTGGCCATGTGGGGAGGGCAGCAGTGAGGGGGCAGAGCTTGCACGTGTGACATTACATGCATGGTGGAAGTCATGGGGGATGAGGGAGGTTCTTCTGCACACCGCTTGCGTAGCAGAACCCTCACCTTTTGTAGCAGGTTGGACAGTGGCTCCCTCCCCGCAAAGCTATTTCCACATTCTACACCTGCAGCCTATAAACGTGACCCTCTTTGGAAAGATCATCTTTGCTGGACATGGTATGGCACACCTGTGATCCTAGCACTCTCGGGAGGCTGAGGCAGGAGGATCGCCGCAAGTTCAAGGCCAGCCTAAGCTACATAGTGAGTTCAAGGCCAGCCTGAAGTGCATAGCAAAACACTCTCAAAAAAAGAAGAAAAAAAAAAAAAAAAAAAGAAAAGAAAGGAAAAGAAAGATTGTCTTTGAAAATATAACTAAGCTAAGGATGTGGAGCTGAGATCATTCCAGATTGTCTAGGAGGTGGGTCCTAAATCCAGCAAGTCTGAGAAGAGACAGAGGTGGTTAAGAACACAGACTCCTGGATAGGCTGCGTCTGAAGGAGTAGCCAGAGACTGGAGTGCTGGGGCCACAAGCTGAGACACATCTGAGCCACCTGCAGCTAGACGAGGTAGGAAGGACCCTGCGCTGGAGTTCTAGGCGGGGCTGTGGACACTTGCTTCAGACTTCTGGCCTCCAGAGTTGTGAGAGAATAAACTTCTCTTCTTTCTTTCTTTTTAAATTATTATTATTTTTAGTATGGGGAATCAAACTCAGGACCTTGCACTTGCCAGGGAGGTGCTGTGCCACTGAGCTATATCCCCGGCCCCTCTTTTTTTTTAGACAGGGTTTTGCTATGCAGTTCAGGGTAGCCTTGAACTCTCGGGGATCCTCCTGCCTCAGGCTCTTGAGTGCTGTGATTACAGGTGTGCCCCACCACACCTAGATACCTTTCTATTGTTTTAAGCTGCCTAGTTTGTAGAGATTTGTTATAGCAGCCAGAGAACTAACCCTCCAATCAGGCAGCTACCTGGACACCATAGACCTGAGGCAGGGACAGAGATACTCACACCCCTGTCAGGAGCCCAGGTCCGTGTAGATCACCCTGTCACAGTCACCCAGAAGTGCCTGTGTGCCTTTTTGATTGTGCCAGGCTGAATAAAGCCTCCTCACAGACCTGCCTCCTCGCCCCAGACGGTGGGCCAAGGATCCCACAGTGCCCAGGTGGTCCACCATCACTGCAAGTGTGTGGTAAGAGGGAGGCAGGAGACCCCGGGGGGAGGTGACAGGGAAGCCAGAGTTCCGAGTGATGCCGGGGAAGGGCCCCGAGGCAAGGGATCTAGTCCCAGAAGGTGAGAAAGGCAGGACTGAGGATTCCTTCTTGGAGCTTCCAGAAGGAACCTGCCTGATCACACCCGGACTGCGGCCCCAAGAAACAGATCTTGCTCTTCTGTTCTCTAGAACTGTAAGAGAATATATTTGTGCCTTTTTTACAATTTCACTTTATTTTTTTTGAGACAGGGTCTTGCTGTGTAGCCCAGGCTTGCCGTGAACTTGAGATGATCCTCCTGCCTCAGCCTACCTAGTGCTGGAATTACAGGCATGTGCCAGCACACCTGGCTACACGTGTGTCATTTTTAAAAAGCCATTGAATTTGTGGTGATGTGTTGCAAATGCGGTCACCTAGAGACCTAGCCCAGGGTGGAAAAAACGGCTTTGTGTCTCAGGGGGCCCCGTGGAGCCACTGAGAAAATGTGACCCATTCTTGTGCAGTCACACAGACACGATTCTGTGGTGCCTGCAGGTCTCAGTGTTAGGAAACCCTCCCTCCCCACACAGATACCCAGGGAGGCTCAGAACTGTAGCCAGCTGTGAGTCCCCACAAGGACCCACAGACTACAGGGTCCCTCAGAAACACACACACCCAGGGACACTATGGTGTCTGAAAGGGTCCCCTGGGGAGATGCAGGAAATAATGGCGCAGTGACACAGTTCCTAACCAAACACACCAGTGGTCCCAGCGTTACATACACTCGTCTGACACAGGCGTGCACACACAAACATGCGTCCTCCCGACCGCCTCCGGCCACGACCAGCCAGCCACACAAGGGATATGGTTTTTGGTTTTTTTTTTCCGGTACCGGGAATCGAACTCATGACCTTGCGCTTGCCAGGCAGGCGCTGTGCCGCTGAGCTATATCCCCAGCCCCCACACAAGGGATATGGTACAAAAATAGTTTATTACAAAAGAATCTAACCCTTGTGCCTAATAATTTACAGTGTTACCAGTGCCTGCCTAAGCTCCTCTCTCTTCATTCATCTGGACGGAGGTGGCCGAGGAGGGACTGCTCCCTGGTTCCACCAGCTCAGGGAGGGGCAGGAAATGAACATTTGGGTAGAGTTCCAGGCTGGGAGCCAGTGCCTGAGAATGCCACAGTCCTTGGTGGGACAAGACGGAGCCGGGGGGGGGGCGGGGGGGATCTATGCGCGCCAGGGGCTCAGGAGTAGGTGCATGTGCTTTGGTGCAAATCCTGGTCCTGAAGATTGGGGGGGGGGGGGCAGAGTGAGATCTTCACAGTTTCCGGAAGGGCAGACCCCCCCAGCGCAGGGAGGCCCCTCCCCATGAGTTCGAGATCTGCCCCCCCATCCTTCTCAGCTGCCTCCTGGAGCCGGGGAGGGGGGCACCGGCCGGCCAGGGCCTCGGAGAACCCCAGGAAAGGGCAGGAAGGCAGGCGGAGATGGGGGAGGAAGGAAGAAACTTGGGGGAGCCAGGGGGAATCCGGGCGGGTCCTTGGGGGGAGACTGGGAGGGCGAGGAGGACGGTGAAGCGGAAAGAAGACCTGTGGGAGGAGACGGGCGGTGAGTGGGGCAGTGAGCCCAGGCCCGGGAGCAGGGGTCGGCGTCTGCCCGGCCCCCAAGAGGAGGTGCGGGGCGCGCGCGTGCGGGGCGCTCACCGTTGGAGCTGAGGCGGCTGCTGCTCTCGGGGGAGGTGGTGGCACTTCGGTCCGGGGAGGGCTCGGTCTGTGTTGCGGAGGCAGCCCTGGTGGCCTTACCCCTCAGGATGTCGATGACCTGTGGAAAGAGGGGCGTCACCACAAGGCCACTGCCGCTGTCCCCGCCCCTCCCCGCGTCCCCCGGCCCTGGGCATACTCACCCTGCGGCTGCGCGCCACCATCAGCGGCGTGTCGTTGTGACAGTTCTTGAGGCCACTGTCGGCGCCGCTGCGGACCAGGGTGCGCACGAGCGGCAGGAGCCCGCGGCCCGACGCCGAGTGCAGCGCGGAGCTGCCCGAGTACATCTGCGCGTTCACGTTGGCGCCGTGCTGCGGGGGGCGGGGAAGGGTCAGGAGCCGCGTGGCCGGTCAGGGGCGCGCTGGGGGGCAGGGTCCTGGGTCTGGATCGCGTCTGGGAATGGGGTGGGGGCAGGACAGCGCGGGAGCCGTTCCCACCTGCAACAGTAGCTGCACCATGCTGAGGCTGTTGTTTTCCACGGCGTGGATGAGCGGGGAGCGGCCACTCTTAATGTCCTGCGGCAGGAAGGACAGGTCTTTTTAGTTTCTCCAACTCCTGCCCAAGAAGTCGGTGGTCCAAATCCCGCCGATCGGTCCACCCTCTCTGTCCGGGTCGGTACTACAAGCCCCGCCCATCGCCCAGTCCAAGGCGGGAGCCCTCACCCACCCGTCAGGCCCAGCCCCCAACCAGGACGCGCCCACGGCCACTCTAAAACACGCCCACTCTAGGACACGCCCACCGACGCCAGCCCCGCCCGAGCCCCGCCTCCAGCCACTCCCGGCTACGCCTCCTCCGCTCACCACCGCATCAATGTCTGCACCGCGCTCTAGCAGAAGCAGCACCGCTTGGTGGCACTTGGTGTTCACGGCCACATGCAGGGCGGTGAGCCCTGAGGGACGGGGAGACTCAGTTAGACGGGGGCCGGGGGCTCTGCAATCTCTCTGGACTCTCGGTCCGGATGGGACAGCCCCAGCCTGCTCCGCGGTGGGCAGGGAGGACTCACCATCGTAATTGCGGGCCTCCAGGTCCACGGAGCCCGGGGCCGCGCTGTCCAGCAGGGCCTGCAGGCATGTAGGGCTGCGGTGCTCGCACGCCAGGTGGGCTGCGGTCTGGCCATGGCGATCCAGCGCCATGGGGCTGGCCCCAGCCGTCACCAAGAGCTGGACTATATTCGGTAACGTGGTGATCACAGCCAGGTGGAGCGGGGTCTGGGGAACAGCGACTGTGAGGAACAGGTGGCCCACCCAACACCCCAGCCTGTCCCTCTGGGCCACCTCTCCCAGATTCAAGAATCGGGCTCCCCTTTTTTCTCGGTGAGGACCCAGAGTTCTGGGCCTCCCCCTCCTCCCTTGCTGGTCCCCTCCTCCCTCTCCTAGGAGTCAGGCCCTTAGATCCTCTCAGTCCCAGGCACAAGGGTTCCAGGTCCCAGGACACCGAGCCTAGGGTACCTCCCTGCTCTGACCCAGCCCCGGTACGCAGCGCCTCACCTGCCGCAAGTTGTTGTAGACGTCCAGCTCGCGGCCCGCGTGCTGGAAAAGGGTTACCAGCCGGTGCACGGCGTGCAGATTGTCCTGCACCACGGCGATGTGGAGAGGCCTGGGATGGGGCAATCACACACATTAGGGGCGTCACCTCTCTCCTCCGTGCGGTTGGCTCTGCCAGCTCCAGCCTGTGCTCACCCCTTCCCCCCTTTCCTTCACCTTGCTTCTGCTCCCTTGGTACCATCCTGGGTGTTCCAGTCCCCTCCCTGGTGGCCTTCCTGCTTTTTTTTTTTTTTTTTTTTTGGTCTTTTTG